CCCCCCCCGCAATTCTACAGGCATCTCTCCCTGATGTGGTGTCAGATTACCCCATAAGCGAGGTAGACACAGGCCTACTGGTGCTTACTTACCACTCTGTAGTGAACAATTGCACCCCTTTTCCTCACATCAAAGATTCTGCTTCTAGGTCTAGCTGGCCTCTGTCTCTCTCTCAGACCCCAGCACTTTCCTCTCAAATCTGAGCCTCTTTTAATTTGTCGTCCCTGAGAGGGACACGGGACCCAGTAAGTAGGGTAAGCACTGACTTGTGTTGCTTGCTGGGAAATCCACCTCTGCCCTAACACCATATCCTCCACTTCGGAGGATCCCCCGCCCCTACCATCCCGCAACCACACACTGGCCCCGCAGCCGCTGGCTTGAGACATGGGCCTGGAGAGGCAGCCCTGACCCAGTTACCAAAGAAACGCTGAATTCAAGGCAGCCCCTGGGACGAGGCAGGTCCCAGAGCTCAGGCAGGCTGGAGACGAGCTGGCAAGAACACAGGAGCGGTGCCCTGCGTGGCCTCCACCCTCCTCCCTCCGAGCCCCTGGATGGCCCAGAGCACCACTGGGGTACAGAAAGCCCCTCAGTGTGCAGGGCTGCAGATGAACCCCGAGTCCTCTCGGAGCTCAGGCTGGGCGCCTGCTCACTGGGCCCTGTTCCCATCAGAACGGGAGGCCCCCAGGCAGTGCAGCCACAGGCTGGACGGCTCCTGAGTTCCTGCCCCCTTATGATGCAGTCAAGAACCTCTTGACAAAAGCTTCTTTGTGACTTTTATTTTCTTGTATTAAAAGGTACCAATGATTGGCTGTGCCTTCTCAAAACTGATGAGCTCTGGTGGCATGGTGGTTCTTAAAACATCTGGCTGAGAACAAAAAGGCCAGCCGTTCGAACCCACCAGCTGTGCCACGGTAGAAAGATGCGGCAGTCTGCTTCCATCGAGATCGACAGCCTTGGAAATCCTAGGGAGCAGTTCTCTGTCCTCTAGGATGGGAATGAGTCAGAAGTGACTTCACAGCAGTGGGTTTGGTTTGGTTTTTCTCAAAACAGAAAAGATCTTCCCAGGCCCCTCACAGCGGCTCTCCTGCTGCCAGAGTCCTGCCACGGCCTCAAGAACAAGTCCAAAGACGAGCACTTTGCAGAGAGCACTTTGGGTCCTCACCGGTGTCCACATGAACTGGCACACGGACGAGTCCTGGGCCACAGCCTCGTGAGTGCTGTCGCAGTCACAGAGGGTGTCCACCCCCAGGAGCCCTCCGCCACCCCTGCCCATATTCCTCCACTGTCCACAGCACCACCCAGGTTCCCCAGTCCTCCGCCTGCACGCGGCCCCAGGGCGTGTGTGCAGGTGAAGCCTGACCGGGACTCAGCTCACAGCGGCCCATTCACTGCAGAGGGGGTCTTCTGCACGGAAGATGCAGGCCTGCTTGTCCTGGTGACAGCAGGCGGGCGTCAGCGGCGGCCTCGGTGAGCGTGGTGGTGGTGGTGGTGGTGGAGGTGGTGTGGAGACCGGTACAGGTGGTGGTGGTGGAAGCCGGCACGGGCCACGTGAGCCACATGGCCCAGGTGATGGGGATGGTGAAGGCGTCCCGCGTGGCCCCGGCCCCGGCCCCGGCCCCGGCCCCGACCCCGGAGGAGCCAGGGCCCAGCCCACAGCACCCGGTTGCCCCGCGCAGCCGGACGGTCCCTCTCCACGTCAGGCTCCTGCTGCCCACGGTGCAGGCAGGTGGCCAGAAGCAGCAACAGCAGCAGCAGGGCCACCGCAGCACCTGCGATCAAGCCCACGAGGGCCGTGCTCCCCAGGAGGCCTGGCATCGGGGCGCCAGGCTTTCTGTCTCAGCTCCGGGGCTCCTCACTGCTTCCTCCCCTTCGGCAGCCCCCTGCTCAGTCCAGTTCAGTCCCTGAAGGTTGTCTCAGCTCCTGGCGGCTGGAAAGCAGCTGGGAATGTGGGTGCAGCCTGTCTGAGCTAGAACTGCTGGCCAAGGGCGAGGCAAGGCAGCCGTTGTTAACTCCAGGCAGGCCAGGCCGGCGGAGAGGCAGGGCGGAGTCAGAGAGAGGCACTGTCAGGCTGGGCGTTGCAGGGAACAGAGCCCTGTGTGTAGAGACAAAAGACCTGGGCCCCTGCGGGGCTGGCCCCTGGCTGAGGGGCCGGGCTCTCTGGATGACAGTTCCCTCCTCTTTTAGAAAGAGGTTAGCCAGCAAGTAAGAGCATGAATTCTGGGACCACAGGACCACGCGCTCTGTGATAGTCCACAAGTTACTTAGCCTCTCTGTGCCTCAATGTCCTCATCTGTAAAGTGGCTCATCCTAGCACCCAACTCGTGGGGTTTCCTGAGGGTTAAACAAGTTCAACAGATGTTCAGTTCCTGCCAAATGCTTGTCACTCATCTGCGGTGGGGTTCAGGCCCGATGACCGAGGAAGCTTGTTGTCTGAGGGTCTGTGGTTCTGTGCCCTGCGGCTCACAAAGTCCTCCGGGACTGAGTCAGATTCCCACACGTGCACTGCCCGGTGCTGCGGGGGCTCAGGGAGGCGCCACAGCACATTGTCTCTCTCCTGAACTCTGGCTCGAAGTCCTTGGTCCTGCGGGCCTGGAGGCAAGCAGGGCTGGGAGGCGCCGTGTGCAGGGAGGCAGCCAGGAGGCCACTGACTTGAGCCCCTGTAGCCCAGAGGCCAGACCCCAGGTGCCGCCGCCTGGTGCCCATCTCAGCTGCCCCATCTGGTCCTGAACAGCCAGACAGCGTCGAAGGTGTGGTAGGTACAGCGCGTATCCTGGGTCCCACTTGAAGGGGGACACCACTTGGAGGAGGACACCGCTGAGCAGTTTCTATTAACCCCTTCTGATCCACGTCCTTCCGCAAGCATGCTAAACATCTAAAAGCATAGCGAGGGGCAGGGCAGAGGAGCACTTACTCCCAGGTGCAAGTCCAAGGGGGCGCCCGGCGAGATGTGGAATGACGCCCTGGGGCACCACAGATATGAAGGGCTCCTGAGTGAGGTAGCCAGACAAGAGGGGAGGCATTTCTGCTGCTTCAACCACTGTCAACATCATTCATCTTGAAATCAGGGTTGGGGGGGCGCCCCTGGGTGGTGGTGTGCCCCTGGAGGGCTGCAAGCTCCCTGGCTGTCTAGGGGCAATTTTGCATAGACACACCTCTGTGAACAGCAGCTCCTTGTCCCCACACAGAGGCTGTGGCACGCCACTCCTGGCTGGTGGGGAAATTCCAGAAAACCAGAATGGACAGGCCCTAAGCAGCCACCAACTCCCCTTCCTCCTCCAGTTCCAAGACTCCTCAAGGCGTCAGCGTCAAGCCCCTGTCCAGTCCTGCCCAGGGACAGATGCTCACTGTCCCCAGAGGGAGGCCTTCTGCTGAGGACTGGGTGGGCGACTCGGAGCTCTTCCTCACGTGCAGTGTCTGGGCCGCGAAACCATAGATGCCCAGGTGCCCCAGGCTGAGTTCCCAGCTCCTCCCTCCCGGCTCTTCTTGGGTGTATGGTCATCTCTGTGCCACCTGCGTGAATTTCCGCAGAGCCAGCACCATCTCCATGAGCTCTCTGGACGACCCCCTTCCCCTGACCAAGCCTGTGTCCTCCTCTGTCCGAGACCAGCATAAAGGCCTCCAGGAGCCCTCCCCTCTCGGACTGTAAGGCCCTCAAGCAGAGGCTTCTCTGCTGAAAACAGGCCTATGCCAAGCACTGAAATTGCACCCCTGCAGAGGCATAAAGACCCCGCCTGGGAGGAAGTATCTAAGGTGTGCCCTCCCCAGTTTCAGGATGACTAGACATTGATGGCGGCAACCTGTCAGCAGAAATGCCTTCCCCTCCTATCTGGCTGCTTCGTCAGGAGCCCTTCGTACTCGCACTGCCTTGGAACGGAATGGCATTTCGAGCCTCATCTGGCACCCCTCTGGACTTGCACCCAGGGCAAGGGTTGTCCCTGCCTCCCCCCTCGTTACCCTCTGAATGTCTATTGTGCTTGGGGAAGGACGTTGGAACTTACCAGGCTCACAGAAACTGCTCAGTGGCACCTTCCTTCAAGGAGTACCCAGGGCACTTGTCATATCAGCTATACCTTAGATATGTCTCTGAATCCATGACTCAATCTGAGGCCACGTTCTTTCTTTGAGGCTCAAATCCCTAGAGCAAAACTTCTCTGGATTAAAGACTGCTAACCACAAGTTGGTGGTTCAAACCCACCAGCTGCTCCGTGGAAGAAAGAGGAGGCAGTCTGCTACCGTAAAGATTGACAGCCTCGGAAACCCAAGGGGGGTCACTATGACTCAGAATCCATTTGATGACAGTGAATTTGGTTTGGTTTTTTATTTGGATGAAAGACTAAACAATTCCTTCAACCAAATTGGGCTCAGGGGGCAGCAGGTCTAATGAATCTTGGGGCTCTCTATGCCCTTAGGGCAGTCACTTGAACTTTTAATGATGCTCAAGTGAGAACTCTCCCTGCAGATTTCTGGGGCCCAGGAGCCCAGCTACCTTCCCTAAGGGGCTGTTAAGGAGAGAAATCTGCTGAATGAGGAGCCAAAAGGCCAGCAGGGAACTTGCCTCTTCTTGGCAACTTCTCTGAGGAGGTTCCTGCTGGAGACTGGGCCAGGGCTCTGCAACCCGCAGGGTCACAGACCTTCAGTCAACACAAAGTCTCACTGGAATCACCCAGACTGATGCCTCACTGACGGATGGGGAAACCGAGGCCAGAGAAGGCAAAGGATGTGCTGGAGTTCCCCAGTTTGGTGGGCTGTTCTCTACAGCAGGCCATCAACTGAGTCCTATATGTGGGGTAAGAGGGACCCTGAGAGCAGCTGGAGGCCCCTCCACTAAGATAAGATGGAGGAGGATGTATGGGTATGAAGAACCCTCCCACATACACGCACACAAAGCATCTGTATTTGTTGAGTATATATATATATATATAAAGTATAGTAAGATTCTCAGCAAGATTTAAAAAGTCTCAAATCCGTAGCTTATCATCATTGTAAAAAATATATGGTATCTCCCCATCTGGACAGAAGAATGAAGAATGGATCCCAAGGTGGACATCTTATCAGATACTCAGGGCACTCAATGGGAGGCACTGAGACCACAGTCTCTGGGGCCTCCGAATCGGCCAAGACCTTTCCAGAAGCTCACACTGGACACAGGGCTTGTAGACTCATGATTTAAGAGAAACAAGTGGCCATGTCTAAAGGTTCCCTGTCTTGGAGAGGCTGTCCTGTGACGGTGTCATTGTATTTCCTCTCCCAGAGTTGGGTGCTCTCCCAGAGTTGGGTCTTCTGCACATTCCACAAGCAGCCTTCCTCGCCGAGGGACAGGAATTCCAGGAATTCAGAGAAGTTCATGTCATTTAGCTTCATGCCTGTGTTTTCCAGGGTACGTAGACTCACGTGTATACTTGCACACATGTGTACACCTGGAAGCCAACATTGCTTTTTGGGAAGATTCCTGCACCAATGGCTGAGTGCAGATGCAATCTTTCATATGTGCACGGTGCACACAAGTGCCACCTGGGCTCCCCAGCCTGTGCTTGTGCTAGCTGCCGTGGTTCTTGGGTGCCCAGCAAAAGCAGTCGCTGGGCACCCAATGAATGAAAAGTTGTTTTCATTCATTAGTAGCTCCATCTAGCAGTGACCCTGTAAATAAATCAGTTTCATATTCTGACCCACTCCCCACCTGTCAAACATGCTATTCTGACTTTCATTTATAGATCATAATCTGAACCCAGGCATTTAACTCTTTTCCCTTCCAAGTTTCCATTGAAATGACCAAAGAA